TTTTTCTTCTCATATATCTTCATTATAGAAGTTTGGATTTTTCCTCACTTGTGATTTTATTAATTAGAACATTAATTGATACATTTTTTAATTTAATATATTGTCAAATATATTTATTAAAAATTATTAAAAAATAATCTCTTAATCATTTTTTCTTTTTTTTAATCGTTTGATTTGCATTGATTTGCATGCGATTAGTTTGTTTTGTCAGTCATTAATTCATTGAATTTAATTTGCTCGCTTGGATAAAATATGAAAATTTAAGAATTGAATCAAACTTCATTTAAATTTTTGTGGTTGATTTTTTGTTTGTCATGTGAAGGTGTTTTATTTTATTTTATTTTTTTAACATTGACCTAAGACATATGACAACTTGACAAGTTCTTGATTATGAGCAGTACGTTATTATTATTATTATTTTTAACATAAAAAATTTGAGAAAGGGGGACTGATTTTATAAAAATTGAAATTAGAATTTTTTAGTCTTGATAAAAATACATCTTAATCAACGCAATTGGTGCTGTGGGCACCACTATAGGTCCATTATTTTGTCTTTACAAAAAGGGTTTCATGATGCATATGATAAGGCTGCTTGCTTAGATTCTTAAAGTGTTTGTCCTGTCCTGTTGAAGTGTCCCAACACGCATAAGCGTGACTGCTAAGAAAAATGAAAAATTGACCTTAATAGGGACATTAAGGTTTCTTTTCTACCATTTCAAAAACACATCTCTTCTAAGGAGTTCCTCCCTCAAACAGCTTATATGAGTATTGATTAATTAAGGATAGTGGTATATGGATCAGAATCCCTTTTAATAGGGAAACAAGCAATCAACACTTTTTATATTGTGTTTTTCACTTATTCTTCATTCTTTGTTTTTCGATCTTTGTTTTTCAAGTTCTCTTTTAATAGGGTTTTTTTAAAAGCCTCTTAATAAAATTTTCAAAATCTCTGTTAATAAGATTTTTAAATTTTTCTTAACAGAGTCTTCAATTTATTCTCTCTTAATATGCTCTTTAATTTATTCCCTCTTAACAGTGACTTCAATTTATTTTTTCTTAACAAGGACTTTAATTTATTTTTTGTTAATGAAAAATCTATAAAGAGTTTAATCCTTCGAATTTATTTCAAGATTTTATACTTCTAAAGTCTGTGTCAAAAAACTTGAGAAAGTACCTTTTCGTTGGCATGAGTTGAGGAGTTCTTTAGGATTAGAACTTTTTTACGTACTATTTTCTTAATATTTTAAGATAAAAATTTTATCCTTACTTGATAAGTAATAAAAATGAGTTAATCTTATTAGTTGGAATTATAAATATTTTATTTAATAGATATCTCTTTAATATATTCTTTCGACAAAACAAGACTTCTTTTTTAGATACCTTGAATTCTGATTATAGAACATGTCATTTTGTGATGATTCAAAGATATCATTATAGTTTTGTTCTGTTAGACTGTCCTATACACCTATCCCTTCCAACATGTTGCACCCTACCAAACTCAAATTA